TCAGTGGCATTATTTCCAGATCTTATTGCTGCTTGAAAGAATTATCTTTGCTTTTACTTTTCATCTTTTAATTTCTGCAATACAACCTTTCACACCTCTGTCTAATTCAAAATATTTGTGGTTCTTATGAGTGTTATAATGCTGATGAGCACTGAATTTCTTTTATGTTGATATTGCACTATCACAAAACAAGCAAACCATCTTAATCTTTAGCAGAAACAAGATAACGTTGCCATTCCCGATCCTCATTTAAAAAAAAAAATCTGTTTTCTTTCTTCAGCATTCTCTTGGTCTTCTTTGATGTGGTGGGCTGTCAGGCAGACAGAATTTAAAAATATTGTCGAGCTGTGCTACTATTCACAAATTCAACTTCAAAAAGAAACACAGTGCTCCACTGTGAAAAGCTGATAACAGACTGACATACTGGACCCCCATAAATTCTTTCCAACCAACTTCATGGGGTAGGGACATCACTCAGGCAGGTGAAGTTTAAACTAAATAATGAGTGTAGCAGCCATCAATTTAGTCCTTATGGCTTACTAGTGTTCTAATTGTGTTGGTCAACCTGGTAGGATCATTTTGTTGAAACATTTTTTACTTCGGTATTTTAAATATGTTCATTTTAAAAATAAAATAAAAATAGAAAAGATGGACAAAAATGTATTAATAAAAATGAAAGAATTTGTTCTATAAAATTTGGATTCAGTCAAAAGGTCACACTTAAGGACCTGGAAGACAACATGTGGCCTTAAAACCGTAGGTTCCCCCCCCCCCATTCTAGTCCCTTCACCATCTCTTCGAGAAGTGAGATCAGCCTAGACTTAGAATATAGATAATAGTCACTTGACTCCAGTAGAAAAACAAACATCACACACTCAATATAAGGTACTATGCAATTTCCTCTAAAATTCACAATGTTTGAGATTTTTAAACTTGTTTCTTGAAACTACCTGTGGGTGTTGTCATATCAAATCTGAGTATCTAGTTAAAACTTTATTATATCTAATTATTAATTTTTAAAAGTTAAAACTTTTTACAATAAATTTGTCACATTTACCATTACATAAATTTACTTAAATCTCTATTTGTGTCAATTTCTTTCTTTCTATGCCTTGCCAATTCCCTTCTCCTCCTTCTTGAGTGCACCACTTCATATTCTACTCCCTAATTCTCATTTTTCCCTCCTTAATCCTTTTACATCTTCCTTGATCTTGCTTCTCTTACAACCTAGAAGTACGTATCTAGTATATAGCTGAGTCTAGAAATTGTTTTATTTCAAATTTTCTTCAATTTCTCAAACACTTTACCAAATTTCTCCTCCTGGCCTATTTCTTTGTCCAAAACCTGCCTAATTCCTACAGGCCTTCCTTTTTTCCCTTATTTAGCTGGAAAAGAAGGTTGGAGTCAGATTATGGAGAAGCTGATATGTAACACTATGGAATGTGTACATTGTATACAGTAAGAGTCCACTAAAAGTTTTTGATGATGAACTTAGGAAGACTTTGGCAGCTGTGTGGAAGACTAATTGGAGAGAAAGGTGATAGAAAGAAGGAGAACATTTAGGAAGCCAATAATATGAGTGAGAGATAATGAGGGTCTGAACAAGTGGAGTGGCCCCATGAGCAAAGAGGAGATGATATGAAAATGTTATGGAGGGAGAATCAAAACACATGCCATCTCACTGTAGTAAGATTGAAGGAAGAGTCAAGATGATCTATTTTAAAACCTGAATGTTAACAAGTGGAATGACTAGAGTCAGAAGGCAGAATATTTAAAAGTAAGAGTTAGCAGGAAAAGTTAAAGGAATTTAAATACAACAAGAGAAAATATACTCAAAGTATAGCACAAAGGTCTTTTCTTGTTTGTGTGTATGTGTGCATGTTTGTATGTATGTATATATACATATATACATACAGATATACACATATGAAACGCTTTTTTATGACAAAGATTATTAAACAGTGTTTTCTTGAAGTTAGTTGGAAAAATCTTCTTTGGAATGGAATCTCTTCTGTTTAGAATGGTTTAGACACAGTCCTATTAGAAGGCAAAGTGCTGAATTAGATGTGCTCTAAGTTCTTTTCTTATCCGAGAAATCTATAACACCACAAGAATTCTGTAGTCAGAGCTTTGTCGTTGGGGTACCCAGAAATACGGATACTTATATGCAAATTACTCACCATGTTTCTAGGGAAAATATTATCCCTTATTTTACTCTTTTGTGACAAATGTATAGACCAGTATATTAATGACAATGATATATTTTAATACACAACTGATTCATTTTCATATACAAGAGTTCAAAGAATTACTGTTCCAATTTTGTTTATAGCAAATAATATTTATTTAGTAACTATGCACTTCAGAAACACTTCATAGATGTAAAATGGGAAAATATTCAGGCATGGTCCCATCCTTAATTAGGTCAAGGCAAGGAACTGGAAATTTTCAAGAAAATAGTAAACTACTTAAGTTTGTGTGTAATCAAAGATTTTAAGATCCATAATTCAAGTTTCTAAATGTCTTCACTTCTAGCTCATTTGCAAAGTTAATAGCTTCTCTAAATAATGCTTTGATTCAACATAGAATCATTGTTATCCAGTTACTAAATATCAATACAACATATGTAGTCTTTTAGAACTAGAAGGAAGATCATCTAGTCTTGTGTTCTCATTTTATTTTTTTTCTTCTCAGTTTTCTTTTATTTATTTTATTTTAGTTTTAGTTTTCAACATTTACTTCCACAAGATTTTGAGTTCCAAATTTTCACCCCATCTCACCCCTCCCCCGCCCCAAGATGGCATGCATTCTGAATACCCCTTCCCCTAGTCTGCCTTCCCTTCTATCTCTCCCCCCCTTCCCCTTCTATTTTCCTGTAGGGCAGGATAGATTTCTGTACCCCCTTTCCTGTATTCCTTATTTCCCAGTTGCATGTGAAAACATTTTTTTAAACATGTGTTTTTTAAACTTTGGGTTCCAAATTTTCTCCCTTCCTCCCTCCCCACCCACCTTCATTGAAAAGGCAAGCAACTCAATATAGGCAATACATGTGCAGTGATGCAAAACACTTCCATAGTAGACACGCTGTGAAAAACTAACTCTATTTCCCTTAATCCTATCCTGCCCCCCAATTTATTCTATTCTTTCTTTTGACCCTGTCTCTCCTCAGAAGCATTTGCTTCAGATTACCCCCTTTCCCAATCTGCCCTCCTCTCTATCATCCCCCTACTCTCTTGTCCCCTTCCCCTCCTATTTTCCTGTAGGGTAAGACAGATTTCCATACCCAATTGAGTGTGTATGTTATACCCTCCTTAAGTCAAATCCTATGAGAATAAGATTCACTCATTTCCTCTCACCTTCCCCTGTTTCCCCTCCACTGTAAGAACAGCCTTTTCTTTTCTGTTTTTTCATTAGATAATTTACCCCATTCTACCTTTCCCTTTCTCCTTCTCCTAGTATAATCCTCTCTCACCCCTTAATTTTATTCTCCAGATATGACCCCTTCATCTTCAACTCACCCTGTGCCCTCTATCTATCTATCTATCTATCTATCTATCTATCTATCTATCTATCTATAGACATACATAGAATTTTTTCCCTCCAACTACCCTAATACTGACAAAGGTCTCATGAGTTACAAATATCATCTTTCCATGCAGGAATGTAAACAGTTCAACCTTAATAAGTCTCTTATGATTTCTCTTTCCTGTTTATGTCTTCATGTTCCACTTGAGTCTTGTATTGGAAAGTCAAATTTTCTATTCAGCTCTGGTCTTTTCATCAAGAATGCTTGAAAGTCCTCTATTTTACTGAATGACCATTTTTTCCCCTGCAGGATTATATTCAGTTTTGCTGGGTAGGTGATTCTTGGTTGTAGTCCTATCTCCTTTGCCCTCCAGAATATTATATTCCATGCCCTGTGGTCCCTTAATGTAGAAGCAGCTAAATCTTGTGTTATCCTGATTGTGTTTCCACAATACTTGAATTGTTTCTTTCTGGCTGCTTGTAATATTTTCTCCTTGTGTTCTCATTTTAGAGATAAGAAAATTGAGGCCCAGAAAGGTTTTTTGACTTGTCCAGTGTCATCCAGTGGGTAGATTAAGTACTAAGACCTATGTTTTCATCATGTGGTCTTAAAAAAACAAAAGAATGCTTTGGAATAACTATAATTTGAATAAGACAACAACCTAAGATAAGCTACAGAAGGACTAAAATATCGTGAAAGCCAAGCAGAAAGATATAATCAAACAAATTTGAACAGAGCTCATAATTTTTAAATCACACTTAGTTCTTTGTCAAGGCAAAATTCTTCCCAATTTGAAAATGGAAAACAAGTATCATAGTAATAGTCTAATTACTACTAGGATTCTTAACATGTGTATGTAAATCACTAAAATATTTCCAGACTATTACTCTAATTTTGTTTAATAAGATCCAAATGTTCAGACAAGAACTTTGTGGTACCTACACATGATTCTGGCTCAGAATCTGGATATACTTCTCACAGCGCTTTATGAATGAAGGAAACAAGCATTTACTAATAACTACCACATACCAGGCATTATGTTAAGCACTTTGCAAATATTTATGTCATAATAATAGCCATGAAATATTGGTGCTATTATTTTCCTTATTTTACTTGAGAAACTGAAATAAACAAAAGTTGTGACTTTCCCAGGGTCGCAAAACTGGTACGTGACTCAGGACGGATTTGAACTCACATCTTCCTGACTCCAGGTCCAGCATTTTAGTCACTGTCACATAGCTTCCAACTTGGCTTAGATTTTGATGCTAAGCTTTTAAATACATCTTTAAAAAAAGTATCAAATGAAAATCATTTGTATTTAAATTGATTTTGAAAATCAGCCTACAGGGTTATATTATAAGGACCAATGATATGAAATCTTGGATCCAACTGTCATTCAAAAGAGCTATCTTTCTGGAAATGAAAATTTGGGTTATGGAAGACAGAGTATATGAGAAAAGAAAGCAATAATTACCTAGGCATATACAGGACTCTTTCTGCCACCACAAAGCCCACATTGAAGAAGAGGTTGCTGGCTGGGAGGAATGGGAAAACCAGGAAAAGCAAACCAACTAGAACTTCATTGTGTTCCAGGTTCTGCAACACACAAGAATGAAAGAGAAATTAATTTATTAGAAATCCAACTTCACTCAGCATTAAACCATCATCTCATTTTAAAATTCTTGCTGACAGAATGAACAAATTAGATTGACGAAAATTTTTTGATCTATGTGAGAAACATGAAAGAAAAGGCTCTCAGCAGATAATGCTGAACATCAAAACATTCAAGAATTATACTTCTGGTCTATCAACTAAAATTGTGTAATATTTTTAGAATATAAATATAACCTCTATGAAGGCTATCCTAGGTAAAATTATGAAGAAGGCAAAGTCTGTTTTTGGTCCTTGGTTCCACTTTCTTGCCTTCATTTCTAGCATTGCACATTTTAGCACTTCTTCTGAGGTATTTACTGATGTTATACATGAAAGTATTAGGATAAACAGATGCAAGATAGTGGAAGAGCAGGAAGAACAACAGCTTAGTTCTCCCTTACATCTTCTCCAAAAGATCTAGAAAATGCACCAGACTGAGTCTGATCAGAGAAATCCAAGAAAAAATAATCATAGCGAGGATCAAGGCTGGAGGTATTGAGTTTTGTGTTATTCTCAGGGACATTTCAAGCTGAGAACCTGCAAGTTTTCAGTGTTCCCTAAGGTATATGTTCTAGGACAAAGTCTGATCACCAACTTTCTGGTATGAACTCAACAAATTCCTGATCTGAGTCAGGATTTGCATAACATTCCTATTGTCTTGCCCTAGATAGAGGCTTACAGTTATCATATGCTCTTGAACTTTTTCCTCACTCAGTTCAGGTTAGGGCCATACAACAGCTCTTCTTTTCACTGGGGTCCCATATCCATCTCAAAGAACCATGACCTTGTGCAGGCTTCTGGAACAAGTGTCAATTGGCAGCTCTGTTGCTCACTAACCCTTTTGGGGTCATAGATCCAGGATGGTCTGAGGAGAGGACCCAAACCTAAGGATGACATTCCAGGGTAAGGTATTATTGTGGGACCTTTGACTTAACTAAGGGAGAAACAATTTCAAAAGCATATAGTAATTGTGTGCTCTGACTCTAGGAGAAGAGAGGTAGTGGAAGAGAGTCTCAGTTCCCACTTATAGTGCAGTATGAAGCCTTCAGTGGCATAACCAGGGCAGAAATCCCAGACCATAGGTGAGCCTACAGTTCTATTACTCTGAATCTCTCCAAACAGTTGATAGTAGCTGAATCTAACTGAGAGACATAAAGAGAGAGAGAACCTAAACTCCATATTTAAAGAAATCATAAAAGAAAACTACTCAGATTTCTTAGAATCAGAGGGAAAGATTGAAATTGAAAGAATTCACAAGCTACCTACTGAAAGAAACCACAAAATGAAAATGCCCTGTAATATTATAGCTAGAATCCAGAGCTCCCAGGTCAAAGAAAATAAAAATTTCAAGTGAAAAAAAAAGAATTAATATACTGTAAAGCCACAATTAGGATCACACAAGATTTAACAGCTACCACAATAAAAGAGTAAAGAGCTTAGAATACAATAATCTAGAAGACTAAAGATATTGGCTTATAAGAAAAAATAATTTGTCAAGAAAAATGGAGTATTAAAGAAGGAAAATGTATCTTTAATGAAAGAGAACTTCCAAGTATTCCTGATGTAAAAGCCAGAACTGAGTAGGAACTTTGAAATACAAATATAGGAGTCAAGAGAAATATAAAAAGGTAAACATGAGTGAACAAATATAAGAGACTACTCAATGATAACATGTTAACATTCTAAAATGGCTAGATGATACATATGTCTCCAAAGAATTCTATCAACATATGGGGTCACTGAGGGAATCTAATAAGACATAGGATCTGAGGGTAGTTTTGTAATGTTTTGATAATTTGCAATATTCCAAGCATGGAGAGGAAACCTGGGCTTAGTCTGACATGCATTTTAGATTTTAAGAAAAGCAGAATTCAAAGAATTCAGGGGAAATATATAGACTAAAATACTTTAGAAATTGGCTCAGAACAAATGGGAGATGCCCGAGATTCTAAAAGCTACAAAGGGAAATAATTCCAGTGAGAAGGAAAAATGGGATGTGCCTCAAGAGAACTACGTGGAAGCACAGAGAACTCATAAGCCAACTTAGATTTTTAAAAGAAATGTACATAAGATGGAAGCAAGACTAAGTAACAGAAAATGAATGTGAAAGTGGCATATTCCTTCATGCAAAAGCTCAGAATGAGCTGGTGTGGGAAAATAAAATATAATAAGAACTGTTTTTAGCATGTAGATCTAAAAGGGAAGAAAAAGAAAAATCAAAAAAGGAACTGTACCTTTGCTAGGGGTGGATGGGATGAAAATAACTGACAACAGAGAAAAGGCAGGGCTGCTCATTTTTTACTTTGTTTCTGCTTCTTCTACAAAAGAGAATGATATTCATGATGGAAGTAAAGAATAAAACAAAGACTTATAAGGAAAGAAAAGGAAGTTACTTGGCATCTCTGCATGAATTCAAGTCACCTGGTTGAGATGGATTATACCTGTGGATATTAAAATAGTGGGAAGATATGATTCCTGAGGCACTTTCAAATATATTTGAAAAAGATCTGGGCGGGGGTGGGAGGAAATTATTGGACTGCAAATTCAATTGGAGTCACTAATGCAAACTGGGAGACAAATAAGTTCATATGATCTTCTGCCTCTTCATTAAAAGAGGCATAGCTTCCCAGAAAAAAGAGATAATAGTCCTACTACATTCTATCCTCATAAGACCTCATCTAGGGTATTATGTTCAGTTCTAGGCACCATTAAGAAGGATATTGATAACCTGGAGAATACCTGGAGGAGGGCAATCAAGATGATGATGGGCCTTTTGTCTATGTCAAATGAGGACAGATAAAAGGAAATGGGGATGTTTAGATGGGAACAAAATACTCAGGAGATATATGATAGCTATTCTCAAGAACTTGAAGGGCTGTCATATGGAGTTGAAATGAAGACTTATTTATTCTTTTTGGTTCCAGAGAATAGAATGAGTGGAAGTTACAAATTTAAGAAATACATTTAAGTTTGATGCCTGGAAAAATTTTCTAGCAATTTGAGATGTACAAAAGTAGAGCTGGCTGCCAAGGGAGGTGGTAAGTTTCCTTGCTGTGGAGGTCTTCAAGAAGAGGCTAGATGACAACTTGTTAGGTATGTTATTGTGAGGATTCTTTTCATGAATGGTTTGGACTAGATGGCTCCCAAGGTGCCTTAAAATTCAAGTTCTCTAATTCTATTAATTTAAGTAGTTTTTTATAGACTGGCCAGGAAACTTACCATCATTTGTAACACTGTATGAAGTATACAGATAGATCAGCATAAATCCATTACTATTAGAAAAAATATTATTCAGTGAATCCACTGCATCATCGTTAAATAGACAAAGTACAGCACATTCTCACAATCATCATTAAATAAATCTATACCTCAGTTTCTTCATTTTGAAATAAGTCATGTGGATGCCACTAGGATAATTAATATACCTGTAAAGTAGTAAAATATCAAGATAACCCATAAGAATATATAGCTAGGTCTCAATTCAAATAGTGAATCCTGTTAAGTGGTCACATTATTCAAATTCATACTGCATATTTCAATTAGACTAAAACCAAAGACAGTTTCTTATTTTAACTTTAAATAGTGTGAATTTGAATACATGAGACCACTTTAAGAGATTCATTATTCCCACTAATTGGGTATGTAATGAAATGTATTCCCACATGAAATATTTATAAATGAAGTTTACTGATGTTTTCTATTATTAGGCTAGCTAGCCTTTTATACTAGAAGAAACAGTCAATGAAAAACAATAACAAATAGAAGCAATGAAATAAATTCACCTCAACAATCAAATTTATACTGGCTATTCTTATGATTTATGTCAATTTTTTTTTTAAACTGACATGCCAAGACCAGAAGCACATTTGTGAGACTTATGAAGACGAGTGCTCCTCAGTGCTCCTGGGGCATACACATTAAGTATTCAGAAGAGAAAATGGAATAATTAGCTTTCTTTGGTTAAGTACCTTTTATTGCCACCACATGTACAATTCAACAAGGTAATTACTATAATCACAAATGTCTACAGCAAATTAGTTCATTTGAAAATCTGTGAAGAACAAACGACTCAGTCCAGTTCAGTTTTTAAATTGCTATCTATATCATGTAACATATGGTAAAATTCAGCTAACATACACATAGTATTTGAGGAGTAAGTGGAAGAGGACAGTGATGGAATGGTACAAAATATGACAGCTTTCATCTTCAAATATTAACAAAAAAATTTGTATTGAGCATCTCAGCACATAGGGCTGTAAAGAAAGCTTTTGACTTCTCTCATAGAGGATACAAATAATCCTTGATGGATGATAAGCCTTTGTTTGTGGGACTACAAGATACTATTTCAGCTCTAAAGTTCTGCGTCTACACTTTACTGATCTCGGATAAAAAAGGAAAGTATGCACCATCTAAATTCATACATCAGCTAATGTGAGAGAAAAGCAAACCATTTGGAATCTAGATGTTGGATCACATTAACTAGGTGAAGAAGCTACTCATTGGATGTTCTAACTACATACTCTTCCTCTAATTAGTGACTATGGAGCTTGAAAGAATTAGCAAATTTCCAAAAGTATTTAATTTCTTCTATATAAGTCAACCTCTTTTGTGTCAAAGACCCCTTAGGCAATCTATGGACCCATTCTCAAAATGATGTTTTTAAATAGTTGAAGGAAATATTAAACTTCAGTTAGAGGTTAGCAAATATAGGATGTAATTATTTTCCCAAGCAAATTTACAAACTCCCTGAAATCTATCTATGAATCCCTTATGTAAGCCCTAAGTTTTATGTTGTAGCTCTATCATCCATGGGGAGCTGCTCTTTGAGTTGTGCAAGCAAGCTACTACTAGAGTAAGAAGTTTTACAGTGACCTGATTTTAGGTAGCTTAACATATATCAGGGTCTCCACATAAGCTTTAATAGCTTAAACTACACCAAGACT